CTTCAAAACCATTTTGAGCAGAGATATTAGGTGGCAAATAATTATTCTGAGCGTCAAACGATTTTATTCTTAGCGAAGCAAAATTACTGTGCGCGATTATGTTTGTGTACGGGAGATACAAATTCCACAAAAATGAAAAATTGAGAGACCTTCATATATTTACTGCATGGTCTTATTTATGTCAAAAGAAACAACTAAAATATTTTCAATGCAGGTGATTTTTCAGCTTTCGAGAAAAATAGAGAAGTGTTTAAAACTGAGTAGTATTCTTAATAAATTGCGTTTTCCTCACTACTACGTAGACTCTCTGTAAAGACATGGAGATATTTTTTTATCAGTAATATGAAATAATGCAAAGACCTATCCATTAAATTAATACAAAAAAATTTCACCACTTTCACAACTCTCGAAAGCAACGCCCTTTACTAAACCTGGTTTTAATAATAAAATTACACAATTTGTGCAAAATAAACAATTTCACAATTTTCAACTAAAATATTCCACCTCCAGTTATATAGATAAATTGTTTTTAATTCGTAGACAATCCACATTTTTAAATATTCCATCACTAGTTGAAAATTATTAATGGTGAACGAGTTCACATACATCATATTTTGACCGAAGCTCTTGACAAATTACCATTTTGTTTGATTTGAATAAATAGGGACCATGTCAGCAGCACCTAGCCCTTCAGTACTTCGAGAATACAAATTCTGCCCTAAGATTATATCCCTTTTTGTCTCCAGGGTAGTCTCGATGTGCTATATTGGTGGCAGGGGATAGCGATCCTAAGCCTAAAGAACAACTACCCAGATTTCTATTAATGAATGATAAATATTAACGTGACTTAAGAAGCGCATATGCTACGTTGTGGTGGTCGACGTGGGATTTTGATCAAGGAGAGCACTGGAGACGACGCTCGAAAGGAGTGGAGGGCTACTTAGTACTTTGGTTGCTTGTTTAACTCTTTACTTGGGTTTCATGGGAACCAAAGCTTCGCGGTTATACTTTTACCAGAGAGCATCCCCCCTTGACCGTGCCAGTGGCCTCCAGCCCTCCTGTACATCGGCAACACATATTCTACCCTGGTGTTATACCTTTTTTCATCTTTATTAAAGTTTAGGGGTACTACAGATGTTTGGTGTTAAGGGCAGTAAGTGCATTTGTCACAGGAACAAATTAAACCACTTTTACAAATCGAAATAGAATGACGTATTTTCTAAGAAAATTTTCAGATCCAACAATCAAAGGAGTACTTACTCGAGCGTGTTCAAACAGACTTGTTACCATGACAATACACTGACAGTTGTATTGCCATACCATTCGCCAAAAATCCGAAATCGTCTTCATATTTGGTCCCTGAGTTGCTATGTACTTCCGCTCCTGTTCTTGGCCCTAAATCCAACCGCCAAATAAGGGTTGAGAATGCATTAGAGAAGGGCGATTTTAGAATTTTCTTGATTTGTTTATGAAGAACAATTATCTGTCTACCGTTATTGATGTTCACAACAAAAAATCAAGGAAGCAATAAAGTGAATAATCTTTTTCACTTCCTCTTTACAACGATTTTCGTTTGATCTGGAGGTGACAATTACAGGAGAAAATAATGGTATAGCCTTTGTTGAAACTAAATTTTTCGATCGCTTGGTAAATTAGCATTTTTGTTTTAAATATTTTTACATGCTGATTTTGTGTTCCATGGTTTGGAAAGCATATTCACGTTTGTTCTCATATTAATAAGTATAATTTGAAGTTTTTTGTTTACTCTAAAAATTGGCGTTTCATTATGGGAGAATCTAAGGCCTCGTACCATTTTTAACAATAATTTATTTGTTCCAAAAAATGGCAAGTATCTTGGCTCTAACTATGCGTTAATGTGAGTGGATAAGTGTGCATTCACCTTTCACCTGTTACAACCCCCAGAGAGAATTTAAATGTTCAACAGTAAGACTTTGAAAGCCTTAAGAAAAGTTAATCATTTTATGTAAGTGCATTTGGACTCCTAGTTTAGTCATATTAATTATATGCATTTGCTAATCTTGATGATCAAAGCTCAGTGTGAAATTCTTTAGGCGAAAATAAAGACTCCGCTGTAAAGCCATGTCTCCATTTTTTGGTATCTCAAACGTTCTAACTTCTTGATTAAAATGGATTCTTACTAAGTAGCAAAAAGCGAATTAGCAAGTCTTCTACAGAACACTTACATCACCTCGGGGCAAAAAAACGGGTTTTTAAATAGAGAACAGTTTATTAGGCAAATTTGTCCAGACAATGACTTACGTCAATCCAGCTGGCATTGATATATGTTGAATGTTTGTCGTCTGGTTCCGGCTCAAGAATTACACAGTTGTCATTATCTGTGAAGGTGAAAACAACCTCTTTGTAAATGCACACAGTTTTAGAAGAAAAATTAGCTGATAAGTTTGGAAAACTATACCTGTTTTGCAACCTTTATATAATGAATAACAGGCCTAAGATAGATGGAAAGACTTTAATGTTCCTCTAGCAAATGTACAATTAACTCCAATAAGGATGGTCCAGTAAGTTGGCTACTCTTTTACCTTGACAATTAGTATTCAGCATCATGATTACTTGCACAGTTATCTTTATCGTTAATTAGGAAAAAAATAGTGTCCAACTAATGCATTTTAGACTAATGGTTCATAAGTAATTTCTTCCTGTAGCACCTTGAACGTCTGTTTAACTCTGGGGCTGGTTACGCAAGCATTTTATTCTCCGTCATTGCACTTCGGCTCGGCGACTTGGACTCTGGACCACGCCAGCAGCCTTTCAGCCCTTCTCCATGTCAATAATACATTTTCCACTGTAGTAATATGACTTCTTACGATGTCATGAATGACTCAGTGTGCTATACCTCCGTCTATCCAATTCAAGACGCTGCTGTTTTAGAAGCAACTTCCGCATATCAATGGATATAACTGTAATTTCATCCGAATTTTTAACCAAATACCCACGTACAAACGAGTATTCTTTGAATACATGAGATGCCCAAAACGAAGAAAATTTATGCAATTTATAAAGTTAATCAAGATTCTTTGCGGGGATTTTGAGTCTTATTTTTATTTCCGAGTAACATCAGTAGTGATGAGAATTTCCACTTAATAAAATTGCACCATCACTATCCTTCCTCGCAGAAGATAGATTTAGGGAGTAACGCAGATTCTTTCAATCAGCAGCGATTTCTGCATTTGAGCTAACGCAGCGCAGTGTTTTATAAACATTGACGAAAATTTGTACAACCTTAGAGATGAGCAAAATTTTGTTGCCGTCTCCTGTTCCCTGGAGTTCTATGACATGACACCGGAAATAAAGCGGAATATTTTTTTCACATTATTTTCAGAAACCATTAAAAACTGATCAAAAAATTGCCGAAATCATTGTAAACACAACCATTAAATGCTAATTAAAGTGTGCTTGAACAGGTGATATTTTTTTGCTTAACTCTCGGTTTTGGTAACGGACCACTTAGGGGTTCCGCCGCTGCACCTTCGCCGGCGGCCTGGACTTCGGGCCACGCCAGTAGCTCCATTCCTTTTGTATGCCATAATGCATATTCTGCCTGAGTGTTATGTTTACTTTCGTCTTTAAGGAAGCCTCGGCGTGCTACAGGACATCCTTATTATATTTATAAATTTTAAGTTTGATTTTATATGTCCGAGAGCACATTTAATTTTTTTGCTAGGCAAACATTGTGGACAAAGTTTTCTGGCACTACATTGTATTTTATATCTTACATCTAGAGCTGTAATGCTTTGTCCCTTTTCTGTTGTTGTCACGAACAGTAGGATTTGCATTTAATGTTAGTTAGGAGTGTCACACTCACTTCGGTTTGCGATACATCCCCACAAATAATGGGGCGCAGTATCTAAAACAATACATGTTTGGCCTATTTACATACCTACCAGCTGCAGAGTGAATGCCAGTCTCCCCTTCTAGTGCTCACTCTTTTGAAATACTTTATCCTCTAGCTATGCCAACTTCATCTCATATGCCATTTACTTAATTTTTCAATTGGCGATGCAGAAATGCATATACAGTCATATATAGGTGAATAGTACACCGGGTGCTTCCAGCTTAAGCCCAAAAAGCTTTTACATCTGGAAGTATGTACATACTTGATGCAATACTATTTCTCTTATTTGGAGCAGTTTATTACCAGAAGGTAGTCGATCGCACTAATGCGTGGAAAAAGGGCAGTTTGAAGGTTTTGTATGGAAAATTCTCCTTAACAGTGGACTCATAAATCGACCTTAAATAGCTGCAAGTGTTTCAAACACCGGAGTTGGTCTATCACTTCACGATAGGTGGCTCACACTGTGAAATAAGAGGCAAAATATTTTCGACCAAATGATGATTATACCTTTTTCCAGCTTCCAACCCCTGTAACTTTAAACAGGCCGTATTCTGCAGCCATGGTGGTCAGTTCTTCTCTGAGGTCCGAAAATCAAAAACGATGAATATTTCATTTAAAATCTGTAATTATCTTTTTCATTAGGATTTGTTTTGATGAAATTCAATACAATATGACAGTGAGCACTTACATGGAATGACATGTACGTTCTGATTCTTCTTTCCGTTTTCTTCCGCAAATGCAGCGGAACAAAAACCACTTTCATCCACCTCGCCTTGGATTACCTAAAAAAAATAGAAATAACTCATTCAAATTTGTTTAGAGCTCTATGTTGAGTTTGCAGTAGAATAAACTGTAATGATATTCTAAATTCATTCCAGTGTTACTTGAAAAGTCAAAAGTTAAAAGATTCACTAAGGTGCTTTGTTATTCTATTTACGCCTAAAGAGAAACTGAAAGGGGTTATTACTTGGGTCTGAATCATTGTTTGGGAAACAATATGTCAAAACTGACAAACTGCTCAACTCTACCTACATGATAGATGGTCCAATTTTGGAAAATGCATTTGTAATTTTCAAAAGGAGTGGACTGGCTCTTAAAATGCACTTCTTAAGCAGAATTAGACCAGCTCATCAAGCACAACTCAAGTCTGTCCAAGGTATATTGTCTATTAAAGCAAAACCTTCCTTTCCTAATCTTCTCTTTATAAATCAACCGGAACATATGAGGCCTGCAAATTTGTGATATCTTCAAGTAAGCTTGGTTTAATTACACCCTGATTGAGAAAAGTGGTTGAAGTCTGCTTTTCGCCCCTTACTTTACCAATGTAGCTCATTATTAACAAAAATATATCATTTCAAATTTGTGGCCCAATATCTGAAACAGTTTCAACTTTTTATTTCCAGCAAAGTACATTTAATGCTTCGGGGTCTCAAGGAATGTATCGTCTACTTAAATAGTTCAAATTAATTTGAAATTACACTCAAGAAATAGTAAATTAATGATACTTTACGCTTATACAACTATTTTCACAAGCCTCACTTAATCTCTGTGCTCCTTCTCCACAGGACTTTGAACACCCTCCCTAACAAACCTTTGTCCAAGTTGTACGTAGCATGTTTAGGCATAATGAGTTTTTCACTCATACTGGATTATTCCCTATTGTGTTTGTTTATTTATTTGATCAATTACGCTGCTTTGACATGATTTAGGTGGAGTAAGACCATTCCAATCGAATGATTGTTCAAGTGCTAAGTAATTTCATAAATATTTAAACAATTAAAAGAGGTGGAAATAAAATAAAATTTGGATTTTGCTACTTTGAAAAGACATGGGACTCTAATAAACCAGGTAAAATAAGGGCAGCTGTGTGTTTTAACACTAAAACTGCTTATGAAAGAAGCCGTGGAACCTAAAGCTTTAAACAATAAAATTTTCTCTATATATAGTTTGCTCTTTTCAAAAAGTAACAGAAGTCCCCATAAACAGTGCAGGCCTTACTTTAGGAGGAACACTGCATTGTTCATGCCATGTTTGCTGCAAAGTCGATATGCATTACACTTGCTGTTTTCTCTTTATAATACAACATTGTTAAGTAGAAAAACATAAAATCCACTTTCTGTTTAGTTATTGGGAGAAGAACATTGCTTTTATGGGACAAATTATAATAAGATGTCTCTAGACCACTGATCCAAATTGGGATTATGAAGTAATGTTTACCTGATGCCCATGGAGCAAAGAACAGTTTCATGAATCATGAAGGCAGCATCGTGTAACAGTTTCTTACTTTTGCTACTTTTGGTTCAATGACTCAACCTGAACCAAAATGGCAAAGAATTCATATTTGTTTTAACAGTTTAAGTCCATTTTTACTACTTTGTATGGGTTTTTCGGTATTTTTAGAACATCATTTCTCTTTTAGGTTTACCAGGAGCAATGCCTGAGTGTAAAAGTGAAATTTTTTCAGAGACGTTTTGCTTTGCTTTGTTATATAAAATGACTTAAAGTAGAGGTAAATTCAGAGGTGTCCTAAATAAACTGCTTTATCTGTTTTTAACTTCAGAAATCTCAAAATATACTATCCTGGAATCCATCGGAAGTATACAATTCTTAGGTCTCGGAAGGAGACCGGACTACGCAGCCTATAAAAGACTTTTTCTATATAATATCACATTGCTTAGAAAAGGCATAGTTGTATATTTCATTGTTTTTTTCCCAAACAGTTCACTTGAGACATAAAATGATACAGCTAAACAAATTCATATTTCGTCGCATATGTGTAACTCTGGTAGTGGATGTTGAGCAGAATCAAACAATGTAGAGTATTTTGAGACTTCAAATATCATGATTCGTTCACCTTAATAAGTAGAATTAACAATTGACCATGAATGAATGAACTAACATTCATTCCATCAGCTCCACTTGCCGAAGAGGTTCGTTTATATCAATTCCATTTAACGCCTCCTTAAATCCTAACATGGTGTTATTTTTGCAAACATCAATTTTACACTCCGAAACAACTGATTACTTTGGACAACGAATATATATTGCCTCAAAATATCGAGATTACTTATCGGTAGGATTGTATTCAAATGCATTATAGAGGTTGAAATAGATGCACTTACTAGGCCATCATTACTCTGAGAGATTACTCACCGTTGCCAGCTTTTTTGGCCTTTAGGCATTGAAATTCCCCAAAATGAATGAATGCCTGCACATGAGAGCATTTACACTTCACTTAGAATCCAGGTTTTAGACTCAGTTTGTTGTCCGGTGTTTGTTTTCTGTATCACACGGGGGCTTATGACTGTCGGTTATTATGAGTTCTTGCTAGGTTTCTGTATGCGTTTTATCCATTAGTTCAACTCAGTAAACTTAAGTGAAATATTTTTGGGGAAATAATTGCCAGTATTTTCAATGGCAATAAACTGTATGCAAATTCCTGCGTACTCACGATATTCAGATTATGCCAAATGTGGGGACTTGGTGCTAATGTAACGTGGCACGAACATGATGAGGTGACTAGACTGAGGATGCCACCAATACCATGAAAAGACTCAAACCACCACTAAACGCTCTCGAAATGTCTAATCTACAGATTAACTTTTGAAATCAAGGTAGTCAAAAAATTGTCTCTCGAAATCGCTTTTCTGAATACAGCAGTGATTTTTTTATTCAAACAAACGAACATGAAACGATTGCTAGCGATTATATTGGGTAAGTCTAGGCTAACTTCTTCCCAGGGTAGACGTTTTAATGGGATTCTATTCATGGTTGTCCATTAATAGAAAAAAAGGCTTTAGAAGCGATTCATCATCCGCAAAAAGAACAGTGAAATTTGTAAATATTGCAACCATATCACTGCGTAACCGGTATTAATGGGGTGAAATGAGGTCGTCTTATAAATATTTACAGTACTTGGTTTTTTTTTGTAAATATGCCGTTGGTGTCAGGACGTAACTAACCTCTCACCACTTAAGTCAGACTGAGGGATCTTTGTTGTAAACACTATTTTACCCTTATCTGCAACAAATGCCCTCTCAGTAGATCCACAACTTGATGGCTTGAAAGTGGCAATAAAATTGTCTCGGGGGTAATTGCAATAAATGCCGCTAAACAGTTTATCTCCTCTTTTATTTACCACTTCTTTATGGAAAGTAATTGCATCAAGCTCATATTTACTTTATTCTCTTTGTAGTTTCAACATAAAAGTGCTTTGTGGATCTAAGCATTAAGGGATAAATAGCACAGCCCTTAAAAAATACTGACTAAACTTTCCTTAAGCAGTGGAATTTATTTCTGTGCGACCTCTCCGAAAAATATTCTCATTACTGTTCCTCGTGATGCTTGTGGTAAACGTTTAATCGGAGAGTTAGATTCATATCTCTTTAGCTTAGAGCTATACAATTTCGACGTCGATGTTCCTGCGCACACTTAGGTCGCTCCCAGAAGTAACCAAAATCACTTTATGCTTACTGGTTCAGATTTGGCTTTTATTTACCGGAGGGACCTCCCAACCGTATTAACACAATCTAGCAAATAAGTTCTAGAAAATAGCAGTCAAAGCATTTAAAAGTGATCTAACTAAATTTTGCATGTTCTGAGTTGTCTTAAAAATTGTATTAAAAGGCTAGACAAAAAGGCGACAATCCTACTACAGAGAACGTAATTCTAAATAACGCATTAAGAAATTGCGATTATTGTCTCCCCGATTAAACGAAATGGCAAAAGCAATTTTTTCTACATAAGCAAGTCTTCTTAAGCGGTTTGAACGTTCCTGACAGCCAAACTTCAACTTCTGTCGAAAAAAACAGTCTTCGGATGAAAGGGGAAAGTGATTGCTGCAAACGAATTCTTGAAGTTAGAAATTAATTGTACTATTAATTAGTTGTCATCAAAAATTTAACCCATTGTACATTAAAGTTTGAAAACAAACTGCAAATAGTAAATGATTTTCTCATGAGTAAAAGGTTTTAAAGTGACTCAAAATTTGCCGTCAGGTGCGCATCCATCTTCTCTAATAAAAGTTTGTCTTAACGAATTCCTAAATCTTAAAACTGCCGTAAATACGGCAGCACCAAGGATTTGATGTTATATTAAACGAGGCTTTTAAATGAAATTTTATGGGACATTGCTGCATTACTTTTAATGAAGCAATACTTCGTGATCCTTTTACTTTTCAAGCTACTTTAAACCGGTTAAGGTAAAGGAATGGCCAGTTCTTCATTTATGCGTTAAACATAATATGTAGGCGCCAAATTTTTTGGCAAATGCTTAAATATTTGATGAAGAGACACCTAGTGAGCCACTCACTGCATAAGCTAACTGTGAATTATTTTAGGATAGGCGAGACTCACTTCATACTCATATTTAAGTATTCCGCTGGCGAGTTTACTCTCGTAGACATTGGGAAACATTGAAACAGGGATAGGTGCGGTCGAGACTGCCTTTAGTTTTCGCCTATGGCGTTCACGAGGGTCGCAGATCTTGTCACGAAGGACTCCAAAGCATGACCGCAGCAAATTCATCAGGCTTCAACCATCATCGGTCGCTCCTGCCACACTCACCCCCACGCACACTTTGCATAGCGGAGCTTAGGGTATTCTTTACTCGGTCTCCTTCCTTATTACTTTCCGATGAATCTTGTTTGCTGAAGGCAACGTCTTCTGATGCCGCCAGTGCCGTAGCTAAGCCGAGGGGGATATTTAGTCGCTTTCCGTCCTAAACACTGTGCGCGCGCAAATCCCAGTGGAGACCTAGAGACAAAGGGACAGTGAGTGAGAGAGAGAGAGGGAGTGGATGAATAGAAAAGACGACAGCGTGAGGGCAAGGCTAGGAGATTTATTCCACAACAACTAAACCAGTCTGAGCTCTCTCGGCCCTCGCTGGTTCGTCAAGTGACCAATCGCTGGTGCCAGTGCAGACCAATGGCAGTGGACTCTACAGTTTTACTCTACTCGCCAAGGAAGTGAACATGCTAGCCGATCCTTTACAGACGCAAAAAAATGTAATTAAATATATGACGTATTTTGCCTGCCATTTTAAGCAATTTAAAACGTTTGTATTATTGTGTCTTTTTTAAGTCACAAGTTTAACTGCTTCAATGTTTGTACCTTGCCTTGTGCTACTTGTTCGGACATGCTTTTTGTCTGGGGATGAGTAAAATGAATCTTAATATAAGCTGCTTTATCCTCATTAGGAAGTATGGATTATTAAAGGTTTTGTTTGTCAATTTTTTAGTATTTCATCTTATCCGAAATAGTTTAAATACTTACGAATTCCTACTAATTTGCTTTACTTAAACCTGTACCTCATACTCATCATATTTCTTGAAGTAATTTGCAAGATTACCTGGTCTTAAGCCACGTCATTTTTCGACATGAAGTATGCAAGCAAAGGCCACTGTTGATAGAACAAGGCCGGATAATTAGGTTCTGGTACGGCTTACGCATAAATGTGGGGTATTCCTTTGGCCGAAAATACACTACCCTAAATGACTTCAACGAAAATAGTCAAAGCCTCCTGTTCACGTTAGTAGTTCCTAGTACCTTACTGTCCTCCTAAAATGTTTTAGGTTAGACGTGAAATATACTATCTTTTTAACTACGTTTTTAATTAGATTTTCTGAACCGAATGGATTCCCGGTCTTCTTTTCGCAAAATCCCCCTTCCACCCTTACCCGGATTATTGGATTAAAGTCATTGTAGAAAGGCTTAACCTAAAAGGATTTTTTACTGATTCTGTTTTCTAGCTATAAGTATAACTGCCTTCTTTTGACGATGAAATTGTTTAATTAAAAAGCACCTGATTTCATTATTTATCCTTTTTAAACACCCGGTTGCCGGACGTCAACTGCGGCCTTGAAACATGCATATCATTTAATACTTGAGAATACCTTAACATTCCTTATAAGTTCTCAAAATTCGTATTTGGGGATTAACTTATAGCAGATAAACTACTGACTGTTTTGTGCCACTTCAGAATTGCTACTGAATCTATTTAAGTACAATTTAAATGGCCTTAAGAGCTCTAAAATGTGCAATCATCGAATACGGTAAAGAAATCCTTTCTCAAATCTTCAAGCAATATTCCTAAAGCCAAAAGTGTCAGTGAAAGTCTATTAATTATGCCTTTAAAATGCCTGCTGGCAGTAATCAGCCAAAAGTTGAACACTTTTTAAGTGGTAAGATGTAGTTTTCAAAAATTATGCAACTTCAAATGTGCAAAAATTTGTTGTTAATTTCTCCCCTCTGTTTAATATACCATCATTGCTTTGCTTTACTTGAGGGCGTTTATTCTAATTTATAATTTGAATTAAGAATTTTGGGTATTTTAGTAGTAATGACAGTAATAAATATTAATGTATATATACATATTTATTTCATTCGCTTATTTCGCTAATCTACTCCATAAAGAAGGGACAAGTAAATAAAATCCTCCTTAAGGTTGCTAAAGTCTTCTTTAACAGAAGACGTTTTTCAGAATGTCGGTATTAAGTAAAAAGCGCGTTAACTCTTGTCGACTCATGAAAGACCATCCAAGTTAAATCAGGAATTTCAAGTTTGTGACAAAGAAAGACATCCTTCAAGGAATAATAACGACAATAATTTCTGTAATATAATCATCTAATGCTTTTATACACTCATCAACGGTCAGGTGTTCCTTGCTAAGGTTTGACGTTAAGATTTTTCAGGGCGGTTAAATAAGTCTGAAGCATTTCGTGTGTAGTAGAATTTGAAGACCGATTGTCCCTGTAAACAACTTATCTCCCTTGCAATTTTGCAGGAGGCTAAGAATGGATTGTTACGTTTTAGATGTCTCAAATGCTCACTACCCACAGAAATGGCTACCAAGGCTAAAACGGCAGCTATTGCTTACCACGCTCACATTATTCAATCAGATGCCTTACTGCCAGTAGATGAACGTCCTATCACCTTAAAAGTAGGTTTGAATTCACCTGTAAATGCCTGCTGGTTCAAAGTCTTGGTTCGTTTTTCATCCCTGCGCAATTTTGTGGGCGGTCTACCGTTGCTACCTAACATCTTGATTGATGGTGTCTCAGATGAAGTGACTCACGACTTATATGGCACGATATGTGGTACCGCTGCAGTAACATCCTCTTTATAGGTATAAAAAGCGAAAATCCCGACTTAAAATTAAAGCTCACTTTATATCACCTCTTTATGATTTTACTTCAAAAAGCAAGACTTAATGGTTCTTTATAAATTTTTGAGTAAAATACCGAATTGTCGAGTAGGATAAGTGATAATCAAAACTTTGACCCACTTTAAAGTCATAAAGTATGATTTGCCTGCCTATTTTTGCCTACCAAACTGTTGTGACTTTTGCCACTTGTTTAAAATTTGCTCACCATAAATGTCGCAATACAAATCGGAAACATTCCCTCGCACTCAACTGTCTGCCTTCTAAGGACAAAGTGTATCCACTCTCCAGCAAAACACTTTATTCAGCCATGGAAAAAAAAGCAAAAATCCGTTATCATTCTAAATGAACGAGAGGCAAGAAATTTACCTTCCTAGTTTTGGTGCTATCAATTAGAATTTTTTGTACGTTTTGGGCGTAAAATTCGCTGTATCTCCCCGTTACAATAAAATTTTGGGGTAAAACATAGAACTAAGGAGACTGAATTATCGAGTGACTTGCACTGAACTGGAGTGGGTTTACCACTTTTTGTATTCATTCAGTTGTACTCTTGTATTATCAACGGAAGATCTCAAATTCTAAAATCAAATCTCTTCAGAGTACTTTTTCTTCGTTTGCTTGTGGAAGCTTAAGAAGGGGGGATTTTGAATGCTACCTCACCTCTGTTATAAAATTTGTAACAAGTGGCGCCATATTTTATATTATCAAGCAAGTCTTTTAAAACATCATCTAAGACAACTCAAGAATGGTTTTGTGTTAAATTTTACGGAAAATAAAAGCTATGTCATTGCCCTTTGATGCTGACTTGATGGAGAAGTTTAACACAGCAATGCCGTCGGAAGCAGCATCACTCAATTTAATTTCTCTTAAAGACTTGATTAGTGTGGAGTAGTAGTTATTTTTTTGATACACCAGTCGAGTGATCGAATTTATGTGTTCTCTAATTGATGAAACAATTTGTAATTATAATTTATTAAAACCCTAAAATTTAACTGCCTTCCATCTTGTCGTATTTTCTTTTAAGTTGTTTTTGGAATAAGGACAATTAAATATGCTTTGTACTTTATCTAAGTGGGACTAAAAAGTCAGCCCAAATGCTTCTGAAAAAGGACGAAAAATAAATTATTTAGTTTCTATCATCTGCGCCAGTCTCTGATCATATTTAACCAAGACAACAAATCAGAGCTCTACAAATTACCGTTGGTAACAGTAGGTCTTCTGGCATATTTGCCTCTCGAAGTTCTCACTTCCACACCAGGCAAAGTGATTTAATTTAGTCCTTGGTCTCATCAAGTAATTGGCTAAACCATTCAATTCATAATTAATTGCCACCTTTAGCACTATTCGTGACCTAAAATAACAAGTACCAGTCAGCATCTGCAACTACTTATTTGTAAAAGTTTTATTAAAAAACACTTTACATGAAATTCTGGTCGGTGGATCAACACATTAGGGCGATCTTCAAGTTGAATGTATTGAATTTTTTGTTTGGGTTTCAGACTTCTAAAATATTCGTTAAAGCAAATTATGTAGTTAGCCAGACCAGCAATTCTAAGTTACTTCAAACTAAATAGAATTTTTAGAAAATTTTAGATTATTACTCTACTCCACCAAATCGTCATTGATATGATTTAATTCCTACTTCGTATGAAGAGTATTTCACCTTCATCTGCATGCGAATGATTTCATATACAAATTGGTCTCCCGCACAATAAATGTAATAGGACGATGAGTTGACTCTGACAGGTAGAGACTCATAATTATTACTCATTGTCAAGCCTATCAACTCATTCACTATCGAGAACTGCTAGGCAAGTTGATTGGCCACTTCACTGGCCAGTTCATCTTCTCAACCGCTTATTGGCTGTTCACTCGATTAATCCGGCCAACTTGCGTGTTCCCACTCACCTAAAATCTACACGCTTGACCACATCAAGACAATTTAAGCCACCTAGCCAAGCCACCAAGCCACCTCGCCTTGGGGACATGTAAGCAGATCTTGAGAGCCAGAATGCCAGGTAATAGCAAGACGCTGCGATTGAGGGAGGTGTTCCGTTTCCGCTCCATGCGCCGCCATCGGGAGATACGGGAAAGCCAGGCCGGTGGGTCTACTGCGGCTCGAGAGTCGAATGATGCCGTCGACTTGACTCATCCTCCTACCGCTGTCCCAATCGTGTGCGTCCAGTGCGACCCATCGGTAGATGGTGAAGAGGAGAACTTTGAAAGAGATCTCTACCGTGTTCGCAGCTTTAAAAGAACCTCCAAGGGACTCATCAGTTTGGTAAGATCAAAAACACTTTCCCAAAAAAGAAGCACTTGTCAACCTAAATTCTGTTTAAATTAACTGCTGATTTGATTTATCTCGGAATCTCAAGCTTTAATGGTAACGATTTTGAGTGTGCTCTGACATTTATAGTCAACAATTTGCAGGCCAACTCTCAAATTCTCAGTTTAAGTAAATTTTTATTTTTGTTAAGAAAAAGTGGTCTTCACAGACATTTTGATAAGAAACTTTTCACAAATCGGTGGCTATAATGGCAATGAGTTAAGAATCTTTTCATACAAGACAGCTTTTGTTAGCTCAAGTGTTTTCAGAATTTCATTAAAATGTCCAACAATTATTTTTAGGCAAGATATCTATCAAATATTTGCCCACTGGGCTACAAGACATAATTAGGGTGACATCATTAGGCGTCACTCGCCTCAACCACTAATTAGGCTTTGGCTTTCCTGTATGCACCTCCACTCCAGCTCAAGAAGGTCCGTAATATTTTGCTTACCATATAAATTGGAAAATAAGACTATATTGCTTAGGTAAGATATTTTTATCGTCGTCTGCTACTTTCACTTACTTAAAAGATTAATTGTGCTGTAGAGGGATTTTATGCCCCCAGACAGATGCGTCCCTTCTCCAGGCGATCTCTTCTGTTTCGCTTATGTATTCATTTGAGCGGGGAGTTCATTAGGCTGTTCCTTAAAGACTAGGATTAGTAAGCCATTAGTTACTTTCAAGCGAAATGAATGACAGCCTTAATTTTAAGGCAACCAAAAGAAACTGTATGGTTGTACATTATAAAAATTAATTACGGAAAGCCCCTTTTTAAGAGGCACCAGCCTAATTTAAAAATAGATTCTTGACTAAACACGCATTTACAAATTCTCCTTCTGTCCAAATTTTAGTCTCTGGAGGCAAGAAACGTTACCCTGGTTACAGTGGTTTCCAAAATGCCTTTTATAAGTGTGAACGCCTAATGCTTAGGCAAGGCAATAACCACTCCGCAAGATAGCGACGGAATGTGGAGGATAAGAGCGTAACCTCTTTCCGTCTCCATCCTCCATTCCGTTTTAAATTGCAGTGTGAGATCTCTCAAGAGTAAGTTTTGTGGCAGTGGAAATACAAGTTGATTAAACGACTACGACTGTATCTGATGAAGCAAAAGTTTTTCTTATTCAGTTTCGATGTGTATTGAAATCTTAGCCGTATTCGCCTGGCCCTCGGTGAGGAATTCACTGCGACCAGTTTTGCCTTAGGAAATATGGGATGAATAGTTGGTAGTGAATGGGTCGTTTTGGAAACATCAATGTAAATAGCAGAGGAATGATGGAATTGAATACACTCTTTTAATCCAAAGTTAGTAGACTAACATTCCTTTCCCAACTGTGAGCTTTCATAACGTACCTAGAAGAGGTGGGTGACAAATTACTGGTCTTTCGCCTGTGGAGCCCATTTACTTAGCTTCTACAGCCTCCCTTTCTAGTTAATTTGTGTGTATATAATTTATATCACCACTTACCTAAAACATACTTAAAGGGTTTTTCTTCAAACTCTAATCCTGTTTTTCGCCTATTTTAGAGTACTATAGCTACTTTTTCGAATGTTACACAAACTTGACGAGAAACTTCTGTAACTCTGAAACGGAGTTTGAAAAGAGACGAGCTCAAACTACTTTGGCTTCAATAGGCCGATTTTATATGAGGGTTAAAATGGAGAGGGGATCAGCAGAGAACACAACAATAATTGACCGATGCATAGCCCGATACTTTTTCCGTTGAGAATCAGCCTACTTTGATAACTATCCAAAATGAGATCAGCATTGGCAAATCAAGTGGAAAGGTTTACCTGTTGGCGTTGACCACTTAATGCCTATCGACCTACCTTCGACGAAAAAAACTGCATTAATTTTTTTAGACTTCCCCTTTCAATTTTTCCCTACCAAAAGGCGTAGCACGTTTTTACTAGCGGCGGGCCAGTCTCTGGCCCGCTGCAAGTGCGCCTGCATTTCTAGCTTCCAACTCGAAGTTGTTCCCATTATGGACCTCCAGCACCACCACTGCCACCACTAACAATAGCCGACCAGTGTTAAAAGCTTTTGCTAGCTCTGGCTCTCCCTTTCTACCTCTGCCCCTCAGATCACATGCGTCTAATCGTACTTGGTCGTACCTCGGGGAAATAACAATAAAGTGTTATATGGTTTGAGGCACTCACTGCAGCTTCTAAGAAAGCGGCCTCGATTTCATGTCTACCAGCAGCAATTGTGATAATATAACTGACAATTTAAAGCATCATTTCGGCCGATCCTTGCTTTTGTCTTATCCGAATTGAGGTTTTTATGTACGGGATCCGGGTTTTTAATCCCTCCTTCCTACACAATTAGGCTAATTAATTTCCAGAGCTGTGGTTTGCACAATTTCTAGATGAGGGATCGTTTCGGTTCAACACTGGGAAATAGCCTTACAACTTAGTACGGGAACAAATAATTCAGTGAAACTGAAACAGTGAGAACATCCCACTACTCTCAAACCTCTTAATTTACTGATATCCGTTTTTTGCATTCAATCCGTATAACAAATCTGTCTTTATAACAATGCCATCACAAGCTTCCTTCTCTACTAAATTACACATCATTTTGTTTGTCAACCGTAAGTCATCTAGTTTAATCTCCTATTTATTTAGACAACCGTAAATAGCAAACGATTCTGAACCAAATTCTCACTTTCATACATGTGAAATAAGAAGATATGGCAAATAATTTTTTACTAATTTGTAAAGTATATTACCAAGGTTTTGGGGATACGAGACGAGTTCCGTCTTGACATTAATTAATGGGCAGGCACACAGCTAGGTACTGATTTGTGGGAAAGCTCTGGACACTCACAGGGATACATTCCTTGGACTGCAGAGAAAAAAAGAATAACCTAAACACACTTGTGCTGTCTTTTTCTGTTGAGTTTAGAGGAGTTTTTCACTCTATTTTTACCTATTTGGAAGAATAGATTAGATTGCAAAATATGCACATCGAACTAATAAACTGAACTACTTTTAAGCGGCAAAAAGAAACAGCTATTACAATGATTTGTTCCATAGTTAGTATCATAGTGACCTGAAAACGTATACTATCCCCGTAAAAGAGAGCAGGTATCTTAGAATTAGAATGAGATGTAACGTTAATGGATGTAGGCTTTAAAGGTGAATAATAGAATCACATCGTAGCCCTAATTTGGTTTCTAACTATCATGAAACCCACCACTAACAATCAGTCCTTAATAACGACCGCTGATTTTAAGGATGAAATTCGAAACATGTGTCGCCTCCACAGTTTGCAAAAGTTTTTTTTTCCCATCTTCTCTGTGAATTTGTCTAAAAATGCTTTAAACGAGATGGACTCATCAGCTGAAAGTGTGGCATTGATGTGAATTGGGAACCTTCAAACAATGCCCGTATCTATTTCCATTAAGATGTAACAACCTGTGGCAGTTATTTCCTTGGTGAAAGTCAGGATGGAAATTATTGTCTCTATTCACCGTTTTCGGTACATTCTATAGCTTAACACACTCCAAATGCATATGTGGTCCCCTTTCATCTAAAAGTATTACCTTTGTACTGCGGTGCTGGATACATTATTAGGTTTAAAAATATCTTCTTAGCGTATTTTTCGCTTCCGATGGTTAATAAAGTTTCAAATGACTAACGTAGCCCTAAACAAATATTTCACCTTTTGTTTTGACAGGGTGACAGCTTCCGATCAGGCAGCACCTCATACTATTGCCATTCTTCCCACTCTCCACGCTGTTCGAAAACCAGTGCGATCGCTTCGTTGGGACGCCATTCAAGGCCCTCAGAATCCAATGCCAAGACACCGAATCTCAGGGCTCATCGGCAGGAGCGGCACTTTACCGCTTGCGAACTCGTCTCTGACAATTTGGAAGGTGAACGCTTCTTTTCCCACTACAAGCCCACCTCACCTGAGGGCTCCTTGCGACGTCCTTCAACATTTAGCCTCTCAAACGTCGCGACCCCTGTCAAGGTGCAGATTCTCGGTGGTCCCACGGTAGGCAAGACCATGCTCTGTCGCCAATTCCTCACTGCTGAGTTTATGGGTGGCAAAACGGAGTCATGTGAGTGGTGGTGCATTAATCGTGGTGATCTTTAGCAGTTATTGCTTATGCAAAATCGTTAAGTCCACTGGAGTGGAAGTATTAGGGGCTTATTGTACCCCTAACTTCCTGGTAAATGCTTAACCATTTTCACAGCACTATCAAGTGTAAAAGTAGACTTTTGGATAAAAGGAGGATAAGTCATGACTTGAAAAAAAAATAATCAAGCCAAGAGGGGGAACTTTGCCATTTACTTTTCACTTATTTAATCAAATCTAAGGTAATCATGATAACGGCAAAAGCCGTGCAGCTGACAGCCTTTTCTTATTATCAGGTCAAATCATCGTAAAGCATGACAACCGTAGTATTCAGTGAAATTTCGAGAGAGCATGGAGCTTTAGCGATTACAGTCCAAGTTGACTCTTGCGCATTTTATGGAAAAAAGTCGGTATGAAGGCCTACTCGACATCAAAGAGGAGGCGTTACACATTACTTTGAAGTGCACTTTATCTAGCGAGAGCCATTTGCACTCTTTACGAATAATTTTGGACCGCTCCAAAGCTCTACGAAGGGCGCATACACATATATTTATATAAGTTTGCCTAAATCTCGCACGTTAGTTCGTTCGCAAAACTTTAAGACTTATTAAATGGAAATAATTAGGTGTAAAGATAGGTGGAATTTAAGACATTGTACATATTTAGTCCACTGATTTGAATATTCTCCTAATAATTTGAAGTTGGAGCATTAATTTTGTAAAAAAACTCACATCAAATAGATTACCAAATTTGTTCACTGACTTCCAATAAATCCGTTAAATAGTTTATCATAACACTTATTTGAAATTAGAAATCTGGTTGGCACCTTGAACATTAGTGTGATTAAAGAATGTTTTATTAGGAGGAATTTACATTCCCTCACTCAATTGGTACGCTAAAAGTGTTTTTTTTTTAAATATTAACTGTGGAATTTGAGCCAGGACCAAAAATACTTTGTGACATAAATCAGGAAAAACTGAATTTTTGCCTCTTATTTGTCCGCAGCTGCAAGACGTCAATTTCGCAGCTGCAATGCGTCACCGCCAATCACGTTTCCTCCTGATACCTCAGTATATCTATGAAGCAATAAAAATTCTATCTATACTTTTTTTTATTGGAAATAATACATGGTCGCTACATTTGACTAAAGTCTGCTAGATTATCCAAAAAATCATCATAAAGCATGTGAATTTAGAGGAAGCTTTATTATCCACTTGCAAATTTGACTAAAATTGATAACGTAGGTTACCTAAATCATAGTCCCTCATCGGCAGCATGACAGACGACTTACAGGAGATTGGAGGTATTCCAGTCTTCCTTCCTTGATCTTCATTTTTGATGTTTCTTTGGTCGATCTTCTGTCTAGACCGACATTAGGGAGTAGGCATGCCACAACCACAGGCACGAGAAGGATGATGGTTGTACAACGATTTTGCTTTACTCATAACAGCTGCACCATGGAGATTTTATTCACCACGAATGTTGAGGAGTGAAGGGTATATTTCAGTTACTGCAAAACCGTTTAGTGAAAAGTATGATGCATTGTAGATCATTGTACTGTATTCTGTGCTCAGTCCACTTTCACTTTTTCATTTTGGCATTGCAAGTCACACCCTAGGGTTACTGTCATTTTTCACGACCAAGTGAGGCACCAGATAGTCAGGGTTTTAAGTCATCCCTTTATACCAACTCTGTAAGCTGTTCTTGGATGGATTTTTGAAACAGCCTTACTGGTATCCAATGCATTAACCGTCTTCAATAGATGTGTCTTCTTTCTCAATTGCCGGTATGGTTCCCAACTGTCAAAATCAGAACTGTTGGACACTTTTGGTCGTTACATGTCCCACAACTACGTGCATGTTGCCACTACCTAGGGATGAAAGGCCTAAAGACAAGTAGCACAAGCGATTGGAACAGTGCCTTATCCTTCTAACGTAGAAAGCAAATACCACAAAATCGAAGAGATTCGTATGTTTATTTGTACGTTACATACAAATGCTAGAAGTTGTACCAGAAGGTATGTGCGTCAACAAGGTAAACCCTCTGTTACTCAAGCGTGTCTACACCTAATAGTTTCAGAGGACAGCATAGAACGATTCGTGGTGATAGAGGTTGACGGGTGGAATAGAAGTCTTATGTTGATCGACAACGTTCGAGAGGAGGCAGCAGAGGAAGCAAATTCTGCTGAGGTGAACCTTGCCTTTTTCCCTCCGGCAATCAACACCTTGGACGAACCCGTCCATCGGCGGCGCGCCACTTCGGCCACCACCTCCAATACTGGGTTCAGAGACAAAACGGAGAGCCAGCGACGCAAATCAAGCTTCTGTGATCTCAAAGCGGAAGTCACAGTGCTGAATACGAAGGGGCAGTCTGAGAGTGTCCCTCCATTGGAGGGTTCGCCCCCTGTTACGTGTACCCAATCTAAGGTCCGTTTATTTGTCAAATAGAATGCACAGCTTTTATTTAGTAATCGAAACAAAAAGTTTGCTTGCCATATGTTGATGGCATTTAAAGTTAAAATGCACTTGGATGTATGAAGTAACAAAACGTCGTGAAAGATACGCCAGTGTTGCCTAATTTTATATTTGTCCCTGACCGATTAGTTGTGATGATTAAGGTACCCCGAAACGTGTGGTTACTGGGTGGGAAAAATGTTAGTCTGACTTGTAAAATGACTTGTTTCTTCAAATTAATCATTTATATGTAAGTTTGCAGAAACTGCTCGTAAAGAACACTGGCACTTTCATTCCCGGCCATGTGTTTTTGGTAGTATCTCCAGGAAGTTATAATGATTGACGAAGATACAATTAGAGGTTAGTTACAGGTAGACCCTTCTCCTCTCACCTTCCCGCAGACCCAAAAACAATTGCTTTTGAGTCCTTTTATCTCTAAATGCTTACCTTTATTGTTTTTAATAAAGCTCATTATGAGGAATTTTAGCGGCTATGGACCGAGCAGAATTTCTTGGTGGATAGGACGTATTTAGGAATGAAAACTGTGTAAACGTTCGTCCTTTCCAGCATGTTCCAAACAGTAAACTGATAAAGTAAAGAGTTTTACCCTTTTCAAAACTTCACAGCCACGGTGCCTTAAAGTGCTCTCAAACCGAGGCTGAGCATGAAACAAGAAGCAGGCGTGTAGGCATTTATGTTTCTTTCCTTAAAACAATTTCTTAGCTTAACTAGTTATTGCACGTCTTAACAATTTGAAGTGATTAAAGTAAATGGAAAGGCATTTGGAATATCCCAATGAATGCTATGAGAATTCATTTTGATGGCATTTTACATATATGTTATTTCATTCACTTAAGTAAATCTTCCTGCTCTGTTGTTTAAATTCTGGTTGCATTGCACCTTTTTTAATTACTACATTACAGGTTTGAGTGTGCCTTTTAGGTAAGCGGCGGTCATGAGGTACAAACCTCGTGATGGATCGAACACCATCAGGCACTGAGGAGATAGCGTACCCTGAACGAGCTTAACCGTGATATCTCTGCACCCTTTTATTTCCCGCAAGCCCTTGTCCTTGCTCAGTTCTTGTGGCAGCGCCGGGTAAAATCCCTCCTTTCAAGGCCAAAACGGACTTTGAGAAATGGCTTAAAAGTGCCAGATTTAATTTATGGTTATACCTCTAACGTCAGTGGGCTATTCATTTTCTACCGGCTCTCCCTCAGTACCTCTTCCCGGCTGTTGTCGATGCCGGTGTAACCCCGGAAGCTAAGTTACAAGAATACAGCGCTACTTCTTCCCAACTCGTCAAAGAAATCATCCATCGCTAGCAAGAAGTGGATGAGGACAGGCTTTATTGGGCAATGACAAATAAGGAAATTAATAGGTATCACGGTTCAAGCGCGTTCAAGATGAGTTTCCTCCTTAGAGGCCGATGGTCTCCGATCCATAATTAGGTTTGTATTTACTGGCCGTCTCCCGTCGAAAAAGTGCATTAAAATTAGCATATACTACATTACTTTCCAAATATATTACTTTTGCATTTCGTTTCCTATTTATTTATGAAACCGTAATCTTTCACATTTTTAGCCAAGAAATTTATGCCACTAGTAAATGATATTACTGAAAGACCAGCCTTTTACCGTATAAATTGTCTGTATTTTTCTAAAAACAATGTTTTTTACGATGCCAAACCTAAGTGTATATGTTTTTAGCCGATGCATCGGGTGCAAGTTTCAAAAATATCTTCTCATAAACAACTCAAGGCGATTGCTACTCTGCACAGGCGAGACTCATGGCTGCTATTAGTGAACACAGCCATCCTAGTACACTTAAAAAGCCCCAGTAAAGCACAAAATCCTTATGTTGGGTCCCTTTTTTATTGTAACAGTAAAAAAAGTCATGCGATTTGTGGCGGCTAAAAGAGATAAGTAATAAAAAAATTTATAGCCCGTTTGTGAAGACGTGAGTCGAATCAACTTCAAAGTGCCTGTTTAATAGCTTTTTCTACCCATAATTAGGATTGCTCTGTTGAGAATATTTGTTGATTGAACTGATGACTCAGTTAAAAGTGCCTCTCTGATACCTATAGATGCTTTCTGAAAGCTTTTTAAAAGAAAGCGTCTTTTCTGTTTTGCATGATTGCCTCTCCATGGAATAGTTCAAGGTAAAATTTACCTCTATTTAGATCAATGCGGTGTCAAAAGGTCATCAACCCAAATGTATGCTCTGTTGGGGAAATAATGGAACTCTGCTTAAGTCACAGCATCAATAAAATTCTCTTTGCACTAAATTTTACTTTAGAAATGCAAAATTTAGTAACAACCACCGACGCATTACTTCGTAATAGGCACTTGTCTATTAAATTTGTTTGGTGACTAGTATCCTATTCCAGTAAGTTAGGATATCAAGCACGGTAAAAGCTTTAATGATGTCCTTGTATTGTTCATGAACATTTCCGCATGCTGAAGTTAGGTGGGTAATTTGGAACATGGCTCTATTTCTTCTCGTGTTGTTAAACTCAACAAAGCAATACGGAAATACACCATGGTAAGCGCAGACTAATCAACTCAAAAGGCAGCCCTTAAGAACGGAATTAGTTTTTTTAATTCCCCTTTCGAGCTGTCATTCCTTTTAGCGGAGACTTAACCGCAAACGACAGATTAAGGCAATTGTTAGATCTTATCCGGATAACCAGTTCATCGAATTATTGCGCTACTGTGTTTACTTTCCAGTGGCCACAATTCGCCACATCTCTTTGTTGTAGAAGATTGCGCAGCCTTTGGCCCAATTTTTCGAAAGATAATTAAAAAATATCGTCTACAAGGAAATTAGCAAATGTCACGCGATCGTGGCCAAAGTGCACGTTTGACAGCATTGTTTTCTATTTTTGGCATTGAAGGATAACTTTTCTTCCGTGATTAGGTCTCGGGTACTTCTATGCATTAAGCGGAACCTTCTGCAACTTGCTACTATTTCTTTACAGTCATATTCCATGAGCATCTGACATATAACTAGATATCTTAGAAGTGAGCAGGTCCGATTCACTTAAAAGAACATGATAGTATTTCCTGTCAGAGGTAACCCACATAATTACCTGAATGAGTGAAACACCAGCGCCCCATCCTATCCAACCCCGTTTGCCTAAAGGTCCGTAATTATCGATGTTGTAGAAGACAAGCGGAATTAGAATGCCTCAAGCAATGCGTAAGAGGAAACGATTAACGCTACATTTGCCACCATCAAGATTAATTTGGCTCAAATCCAAGATGATAGAGCAAAATGAAATAACGAAAAATTAGTTGGTTGCCTGGGCTTCATCTCATGACGTTCAAAAATCCCAAGAATTTGCGGCTAGGAGAAGAAGTTGAGGAGAAAACTTTAAGATTGGAATCCGGTGATACTGCTTCCCGTCAAAGAGATTCATTTAGGCTATACCATCAGTTCGAGGCTACTTTTTTAATCCGCGTTCGTAATTGAATTTTGAGTGGTAAATGAAATCAAGAGGGTATTTCACGGAGCCTATTCACCAAAAAAGAATTTTTTTATTTTTTGCATTACTTGCAGCATTTTGTAAATTGCTAAGGGAAAAAAATCTAGAGTCTACTTCTTTCTATGGCACTTCACTGCTCAAGTGCATATTTTCCCAACCAAAAAAGATGTGCCTTTACACTGCCGGCAGAGGTAATGATATAACCGCATTGATCTAAACAGAGGCAAATTTTACCTTGAACTATTCCATGGAGAGGCAATCATGCAAAACAGAAAAGACGCTTTCTTTTAAAAAGCTTTCAGAAAGCATCTATAGGTATCAGAGAGGCACTTTTAACTGAGTCATCAGTTCAATCAACAAATATTCCTAACATAATGCCAATTTTGACTATGAATAGCGTTTAGGTTCTAGCTTACAGTATATGAGATTGTAATGTTGTATGTACGCAAAGAAGAAACAACAATTCCTCTCTTAGGAGGAAACTATCAACAGTAAAATCTACACCCATCATTTACCGCTGTCAAAAGAATAAAATCTAAGCACGCAAGAAACATGCACGAAAAATCGTGTAAAGCTTGGATATACATTTTTTATACAGAGGTGGGATATTTGCGTTTCCAGTCTTCTCTAAAAAACTGGTCCACCGGTGATTATAAGAAATCCAAAACTTTTTTAAATCATGGCATTTAAATGGTATGTCAAAAACCAAATCGGCTGTTAAACAAATGAATTGGCAAATATTTCAGTGAAAGAAAAATACTTTGCGTTTAATTTCCGTGCAAAGATTGTTAAAAGGCACGCGTCCCTAAATTGTGTACATTTTTATCCTCCCGTAAACAAACACACTTCCATTAGAGCCAAAAATAATTGCATCTCAAAGTGTGAAAAAGTAAAAACATTGCATGTCTATCATTCCTGTTTCGACCCTTTTCCCTTATTGTTAATAATATCTCATTAGTTGTTTGTCTTTTTTCTCCCTTCACCTTGGTTGCTGGATGTAAACGTGACTGACACACTAAGCCTCTGCGTTTCAACGTTATGAATTTTAAGTCATTTATTCACCTAGAGATTGGTCGCAAATCTAATTGTAAAAAGCGGTGAAATCGACACTGAACCCAACGTTGATATTAAGGGTTGTTTGATTATTTTGCACCAAAATACACTTCGTTGGAGCATTATGGATTTTCGTGGAAGGGCTGTGTTTGTGTTTTTATTTGTTAGTATTTTTAAGGTGCTAAACGCATCGCCCCGAGACTTTTCCGAAGAAGAGGGCTGCTAACATGGCTCGGAGGCCAGACCACTGGGCAGAAGTGCAAAGGCGGGGTCTTAAATTCTCGTGTAAGCCAAACAAAGCGTTAAACAAGCAATTGAATTGTTGCATTAAAAGGCTTTAGGTCACTAAAGTGAGCATAGAGCCTAAACACCAGGTGTACTGAGTAAAGTGGCTCTTTTGACTTGTAGAACACGAGCACCTCAAACGAAGGTCGGACAGAGAAGGGCTAGGTTGTGATCCAAAAAGTCACGAATTAGAAAATAAATGCTTCATATCACACTTTTACAACTGTATTATTGTCACATTCGCACAATACGTAAATTAAAACGGAAGGGGTTTTTAAAGAGGCTTTCCCAAGATACTATTTCGTGTTTCCGATGCCGAAACGCCAAGCATAATTTAATTTAATCTGTGCACATGCACTGAATGTGTTTTAAACGAACATCACTTTTTTTCGATTTGTTACACTGATAGATCGAATCTCGAAACACGGATTTCTTCTATTCATGTGATCCTTGGAATTAATTCAACTCCGTGTCATATCCACCAACATGTTTGATCGGTTGTCTGAGTATTGCCTTATTTCAATTACTTATTTCTTTTTCGTTAGTTACACCTCAAGTTCTTTGTATAAATCGGCAGAAAAAAGCTTGGAAATCAAATCACTTTTACCGCATATGCATGAGCCGGTATACATTGCTCTGTGAACAATAATATGACTGCACTTTCGGCAAAATGCTTTTTAAAAGAGAAATATTCTGTTCAAACCCACTCCACCGAGCCTTGCTAACCCATCCTGCAAATATTTGTCAGCATCAGAATCGCTAGTGGGTGGTTACGTTGACAAGCAGATGAAATGCTTAAAGGGTCAGGTTTAAACTGCTGTTTTCTCCATATAGCATCTAAAATCCTTTAATTGGTACGTTTTTTTGTTAAAAGTGAATCTGATCCGTTTGTGCTCTCTCTCAAAATTTCTGCGATTTGGTAGCTTATTTTTAAATTTAGACATGCCTGTCGGAAATATCCATATCCTTAGTACGGTCAAAGTGTCTATTTTTACTGTTATGTTGCAAATAATATGCCTAAACACTATGAAAATAGGTTAACCCTTTTAAATACGTTTCTATACGCAACAGTTACATTTTGTCCAAGTTTTCTTCCTGTAACAATAAGCAAAAATGTTAAGTACATTAGTATACTACTTAATGCTGAGAACATCAAGTACTATGCTCTTAAAGCTGGAAGATAAAGCACCTACTAACCGCTCGCCGTACTTATTCTATTCCCTACTAAATTGATAAATGATTTTACAGCTCAGTTTTACTGACAAAGTTGATTAATTTAACCTCCTTTGGTATTGTTTACTCTAACAAAGCAGATATTATCTAATAAAATCCTTAAACTGTAACGTTCACCTCAGATGGCTACTTATCAAAGTTGTAATCCACAACCCAAATGTCAGAATTGCCTACTTTCAGCTCGAAATGCGCATACTGGACGTGGATATCTACATTGTGGTGTACGCGGTTGACGAAGAAGCCTCATTCAAAGTGGCCAAGTCGATTATCAAGAAACTACAGGAAATGAGAAGGTTAAGTGGCAAACTGCAACTTCTCTACCTAGTCGGCAATAAAACTGACCTCGTTCGCAGTCGGCAGGTAACGACACAAAGTGAGTCTACTCCTTAATTCATCAATCATTCATTCGTGAAATGCGAAAAGACTGCCTACATTCCTGTCTCGCATTGCCCTTTTCCTAATCCACCATGTAACCTCCTATTTAATCCTGCTATATATATACGGGATTCATAGTAAATTAATTTTAAGTATTTGTTTAATTATGATACTTCTTGTTTAACTTCCCACTTTTGGCGTCAATTCAGCTTGAGCTTTTCCAGCACCACGTTTCACGATGAACGGTTTATTGTCAATCCTGATACTTCGTCCTGATGAGTAGATAATTTGGAAGCTGACCAATCCTACTTCTTCTGACAGCTTTCTAAATATTTCAATCATAATCTTACCACCCAACTTACCGCGGAATCTTCTTATTGATGCTGTTAAACTGGTGATGCTTGGCTTCAACATCCGACGAATTAATTCCTTTTACTTTCAAGCGGTAAGATCACGAGGGCTCCCTACCCCTATTAGCCTGTTTCCACTTGTCAAACTCCTTGATGTCTGTTCTCCCGGAAAATCCTCTAAGCTGAAATTTTTCCGCGCAGGTTTTTGCGCTTTTATGATCCTTCCATTCCCCATTACTTTGCTGGATTTCTCTGTGCCTAGCAAAGTTGGAGCGTGCAGTTTTAAAGCGAGTGGATGGATCGCTTTTAATTAAGGAAGTAAAGTAAAGTACTCCTTCGGTTCCGACGCAGTAAAATTTGGCCATTCTCATTACGTTTTGAATAGTAAACTAATTAAGAAAGCCATGCGGTCTTTCCTAAGGTTTAGAAACTTATTTTATTGAACAGCTATGCAATGAATTATTTATAGAGCGCGGAAGTTTCCTAGCTGGCCTTTTGCAATTCTACGTGCTCATTCGAACTGGCTTTTTAAGACGATACAATTCAGAGGTGCTAGTATTCATGCCTCAAAATGGAGTATTTTCGACCATTTTAAAGATTTTTGCTATTTTCAAATGTCTAATTCATAATTTGGATGTATTTTGCGTATAAATGATTATATTTTCTAGAAGGGAAGTTTTTTTCTTGTCAGTAACGCTATTACAAATTAATGTACCAGCCTCTATTAATATTTATGTTGTATAAATAATAAACATGATGCCGAAAATCAGAGTAGTTTTATGCTTTTGTGAATGACGTGAGTTGAATGAGCTTGTCAGTTTAAAACTCCCCCTGTGTTTAAGTTAAATTTTATAAACTATAAATGAGGGAAATTTTGATCTCTACGCCGTTTGTCAAAGAGATTTTTCCAAGCTCAATACTCCAATCAAGAAGTAAAACTTATTTTTACATAAACTTGGCTGATTTTAAAATTAATAACGAAACAGTCCAGTCAATAGAACTCCCTCAATAAAGCAAATGCCAAAAGCTGCGTAGCTAATGAGAGGGATTTTTTGTCAGGAACTTCTGAGTCAGCCATTGCTTCCGAGGAGCTTATAGAGTTTGCCTCCTTGGATTTTCACATACAAATTGTTGAAGCTTCTAAATGCGAGAATATTTAAATTACAAAATAGGAGGGGTGTATAGCACTAGGTTTTACACATCTTTGGGTTTTTGTAATTGATTGCATGTAATTATTTAAAATACATTCCTCTGTGTAGGTGGCAAGAAGGGACGAGCCCTTTCTTTCAGTGTTCGGTTGATAAGCCCTTATTTTCTTCTTTGATTTACTGGTGATGTCATACTTTTGCGCCATGGGGGAAATCTCAATTACCGCTATTACCTAAGGGAACTGAGTGTGCTGTACAAGGAAGTTAATGAAATGAAAGCACATTTGCCCAAATTGACGGTATTGCAACAAGTTAAAGTACTTCTAAACAATATCTTTAATTTGAATTTATAATCTGGAGGAAAATATGACCAGGAGAGAGTAGCCATGGTCCTTCTCGCATATGTGAAACAACACTTCTATTCATTTTTAATTTCACATGACCGAAATTACCAAAATTCGACGTTGCTGAGTAAAATTTTATCAAGACTAGTTTCTACCTAGAAATTAACATTATGTCATCTTGATAAGTTGTTAGGTAGATATGATTTCCGAAAAACACTTTTCCAAGTTTGGCATTTTTAAACGAGACTGGCCGAGTTCAACTATGGTACAGTTGTATTCGTCCCTCATCATGCACCCAAGCAAGTCAAATGAACCAAAAACTGCAAAGCTGTTTAAGAAGTTGCGATCATCAATAGATTTTATGCTTTCTATGGTCAAAAACGTGACTGAATTCATTTGGGTTTTTACCTTATAAATAGGTTACGTTTATGAGCAATTTTTAAAAGCAGCATAATTATGTAAAATTTATAGGTGACTTATTTAGCCACAAGGGTTGATTTACTGAATGACGTAAATGTTACATTCAGTTGGATATTCAAGTTTTCCTCACCTAATCTTGCCATATTAATATATTTTAAACAGTGGGTGATACTGTGTAAGCTGGCCTTCTTTTACTTTTCAACCAGTGGCTCCAAATTTACAGATAACATAAAATAGGGGATATTTTAGAGGCTTATCAGCGATAACCGGCATTAGCATGGATAAATCACAATAACATTTGCTGCCTTTATCAATTGACTGTCTTTATGAAAGAAGTAACATGGTGAGTCTTCTTATCTTCCTTACGCAAACAACATATTTCGGCAGCAAAAATCGAATCTCCAAGATGACAAATGGCATATGCGTGAAGCAAATCGGACCCACTGTCTCATAATTTTTGCTAAATATGAGGAACCTGGGTCAGGTAAATTAATACATGCTTTTACTTTCAAATTTCGAATAATAAGATCTTGTTCTAGGAGGCCGAAGATTTGCTGCTGTCAATGGAGCCACATTCTTTGAGGTATCAGCAGCGATTAACCACTTAGTGGACGAATTGCTTGTGGACATGGTGGTACAATGGCGCAAGGAGGTAACACAGCATGAATTTAGTCGCCTGGGCTTGCCTACGCATCCAACGATCACCGCCGCGTCCAGTGATGCTGGCGGTGTCGCATCCTCCTCCGCTTCAGAGAACCGCGGGCGCCAAAGCTGGACCTCGACTCTGAGCAACCCGAAGAACATGCTGCAGCGCATCTTCAAACAACAATTCACCGCTAAGTCGTGCATGGAACTACAAAAATCTTGACGCAAACTTTTTTTTCTCCCGTGTGAATGTGTGCATAATTGTAACTGTTTACGTGTTCCCCTTGTAAATATACCGTGAAGGTTGCTTTTTACCCATTAATAATAAAGAAATTCATTAAAATTTGGCAAATATTCAGGTAAAATGAAGGCTTAATATTGAAATGAAGCCAAACATTTGAAATAAACAACTATTTATTTGTGCTTTTGGGTAGTAGAAGCTCTTCATTATATTGTTTCTGCAACTTTTGTGACTTTCAAAAACATACGTTGTCGTTTGTATAGCGTTTTACGTGTGGTAGCTAATACCTACCATAGAGGAAGGGCGTTTGTAGCAAATCAGAATTTGAGTGCATAATTTAAATGTCAAATCGCAGACAGCGTACTTAATTTCACCTTTACTACTGAATGTGTTTGTACACTTGTCTCAGTGCTTAGTTCAAACATGGGAAACTTCCATGCAGAAAAATTTGGCGGATCAACCAAACCATTCCAAGAAATTGCAGCTTCGTGAATGATTGTACCCATTAATTCCAAAGAGACTCGTCACCTGTGCAATTTCACAACCGATTATGTGTCGACCGTATTGGATTAAGCCTAGGTTGTGGATTGGCAACCGCCACGATCGGGATGATCATTATCAGGCGTGTTGACATCATTCAAATATCCCATGGATGGGTAAATAGGGATCTCATCATCGTATTTGAAGTCTTAAGTGGATACGGTGGGTTTTGCAACCCTTTAACGGAAAATTTTGCTCATATACACAGAACCATTATTGGCTGAAGCACAACACGGGAAAAATTGGGGTAAACTTCTCCATTGCGAGTGGCATTGCCAATACTAACATTCCTTGTTTTACAAGTAAAGTCATTATTCCGGTTCCTTGTTATTCCCATGTCAGACCGATAGTTTGTTAAGTTAAAAATGTACCAAAACCATCTTTAGTATTTTTTGAACTTTACGTTGAGAGAATCGAAAGAAGCCACCTTATTAAATGAAAGAATTTTGAATAATGGGCTGAGAACAAATGACTTGCTAGAAACATTTTGATGGCATGCAAGCATGACCACAATTGAACGTCCCTGATGAATGCGAAACTACACTCTTTTTCAGGTATTACACGCGATAGTAAATGGCCGTTCTCCCCTAACCCTATTAATGGCCGACACATGTGCTGTACGTGAACCAATATAGATACTCCTAATGGAGATGGCAGACGACAGTGTTTCCGTGCATATGAATGAAATTTCTCGTCAGAGCAAGCTTAGAACCCATCACTTCTACGTAAGACTTTAAACACAGTGATGGGACACTTAGCTACTCATTCGTGGGACATTTGAAAGATGTCCGCGCGTCAAGTGCCATCGTGCGTCTATCAATGATCATCCCGATCGTGGCGGTTGCCAATCCATAGCCTCTGGTTGATCCATGACTGTTGACACATCACCAGTTGTGAAATTATACGAGATAAGCGACTCTATGTAGAACTGGTGGTCACATGCTGGACGCCTATAATTACATGGAAAGGCTTGGTAGTTCTGCCACATCTTTCTGCCTATAAGTTTCCCATGCATGAATCATGACCTGAAATACGTGTACAAGTGTGTTAGTGGGTAACGTCAAAAATAAACACATCGTCCACTTCTCTACATGTGAGTTCTTTCCATGCTCTCAAATGACGGTTTGGCATGACCACCTTTCGAAGCATTGTCAAATTAGGTCAACCAAATGTCACACCAGCGAGTTTCACAGTCTAACACCCTTATATTTGCTTGCATAGGCTAGTCCTTTGGGTGCACATTCCAGCACTTTCTTCATCAAAGATTCACCCGACCTCTGCCATTGGCACCAACAGATTTGAAAAACATGAGGTTCTTACTTCATTGTTTACCCATATCATTTTATAAGATTTCTGTAATTTGCTACATGAAGCAAAACTTTTGACTTTGAAAAAGAAAAAAATTTGTCCCAAAAATAGAAAAAAGTACAATATTTCTAAAATTTCTTTAAAGAAAGTTGAGGGCTTGCGGCGTAGTAGATCCTTCTCTTGTGTTGCCATTGGGAAAACTTCAGTCACGTATTTTCTTTCTTGAAAAGAAATTGTGGCGTAAAATCGCATTGCGTTTGACACCTTCTGCCTTTAATTTTTACAATAATCAGAGTCAAATGGTAGTTAATACGTGTTTTAGAAATGTATATAAAATTGTCCATCCCTTTTCATCACCTTCCACAAAGGGACGCTCATGACTGGTGTGATTTTTTGACAAGGTTCGTGTCCATAATTTATTCATGATATTGACCCAAATCATTTGCTTCCTCTGTGATTTATCTAAATTAAGCTCTTCACTTTGTAGCTCTATTTGTTATACGGCCAGCAGATAACATCTTTGCCTTCGTTTACCCTGACAGGTAACAGTAAATGATGTTACCTTAGGTATTATTCTCCGTAATTATTTTCCAGAAGCGTAATGTCCTCATTTGTCTGGTTGTGCCTATTTATATTTATATTTATACTTATATTTATACTCTGATTAAAATATTGTAATACCATTTAAAATAGGTACTTGGGCTCTAGTTTTGGACGTACAATGTCCCATTTTACCACTATTACTTAAGGACTGCGTATGTATATGGGCTACCTATAAGGATAAAAATTTGGTTTGAAAGTTCAAATGCGATGCTTTTTTTATTTGTTCAACTCTCCGTTTTGATTTGGCAGGCACTGAAGGCGCCGTGATTGTACTTCTGCTGGAAGGCAGGGTCTTCGAGCACTTCCATACGTCGACAATAGATGGTCAACGCTAGTATCATGCCTTTTTTGTTTTCAGGGAAGTCTCAGGACTCTACATCGGTGGCACTGGAAAGCACACTCGATCACAGAGGATAAGTACCCCGAATTCTATTACGGAATGATGAACTTTAACAAGACAGCAGAAAAACATATACTGCAGATAAGAGAATCACTGGCAACACCTAATAGAAGGCCCTGAAATGAAGGTTACCTTCTGTAACTACCCCTATTCCGCAGTCCAAAGGAAAACCATTAACGTTGCGGAGCTGTCTACTGTACCTGCATAAAGATGTCAATTAGATTAACAAGGTGTACCTCCTTCACCTCACTACAATCTAGAGAGAAGCAGACTGATATGGCTGGTCAGCAGCAAAGTGAAAACAAAGTGGCGAGGAGGAACAGATGCAAAACCTCACTCCGCGAAACTATTTTTAGCCCTGTCCTTCATTAAATGACTCTGCTTTTGGACCAGCATCCTTTCGACTGTTGATTGACATACGTTATGGCCAGCACATTCCTTTTTCCCTCCATACGGTTCCCAAACAGGAGGAAGCTCCTGATCCAGCAGAATTTTTAGGAGGTATCAGTGGCGTTGCAGTCAGGTAGAGTTTCAGTTGCACACAACTTCGATGCCTAATGCAGTTGGCTCGTGGGTGTTATTCCTGCAGCACCTACTGCGTTGTGATGTCCGAAGCAAGAGAGATTCAACAAGGAGAGTGTCAAAGACGATGCTTGAAAGGACAGAGGAGAGCTACGTAAAACTTTGCATGTTCGTTTAACTTTTCGTTTTGATGTCGAGGACACTTAAGGCCTCCTGATTGTACTTCTGACGGGGGCATGGCCCCCGGGTTATACTAGTAGCCCTAAAGCACTTCTGTGCGTCATTAATGCATATTTTGTCTTCAAAGAAGTCTCAGAACATTACAGAAACTCTTTAGTCTCTGATTTTGGTTGCACGTTTCCTTGAATTGTAACTATTTCAGCCGAAATGTAGGAACCATCATCCGAGCAGTTTTGGCACATATTCTCCCAAACAAATTAGCTACATGTATTTAGAAACTGCTTGTGTCAAGTCGTAACAACTCATTAATGCCTGATTGGAGATCCTAAACTTGTCTTTTCTTCATATTTTCGTGGCTACGGTTGTGGCAGCACTCCTGTAATAAAAAGTTGTTGATCGGCGAAGTGTTGTGCGTTTGGAATCGCAGTTACCCAAAAAAGTGACCTGTTTACACGGGGACCAAATCATAAAAAACTGGTTCACACTACCATGATTTACGGAAAAAACATCCAAATGAGTGGAAATGCTTCCATCCTCCCACTTGCTTCCAATCTGGTGCAGCGCAGT